GATGTACAAACATGCTCACCGGTGATAAGTAACCAAACTGTTGGCCCCCAGAATATAGAACTGGTATTGAAAAAAAAAAAAAAAAAAAAAAAAAAGCGCCAAACTTTCAGGAGGTAGACGTGCCAACCCAGCAGGATTCAGACGACTGTCTTCCCCCGAATATAATGTACGGCCAATATAGCTGTATATTTGGGGCAATTTTTTCCCTCTCCTTTCAGACCTAGATCCCAACCCCAAATTCAACCCCACCCCACGAGCCAAGATCCCAGGCTCGAAATCCAGATTCCAGATCCAACATCCACACCCTACACTAATGCAGAAAAGATGCAGGCATACTTGCACACTTGTACATTCGTTCTGAAAGTATCAGGCCACAATTACAGTCAGATTCAGTCATAGCAGTCCCTGTGTGAGTATGCCCCGGTAGGATAGTCGTGCTCAAGGAGAGTTTCAAGAAGACAGAGACGGCACAATGCCAAAGAAAGGAGTTCGAACTGGCTCATATGTTTACACAACTTTACACAGTCCTACCCCGGCCTTGTGGCTGAATTACACACACATTTTGTTGTTGTCAATAAACCATACTTGCAGCGCATCACGTGCACGGGGGCGCGGCACATGCGGCGCAGAGGCGCACGCGTATGCACGCGCACGCACGTGATGCGGCACATCACCGAAAAGAAAAAAGAAAAAAATTGAAAGGACAGGATGCAGGGGGGCAAACATGCCCTTCGCTTCTAAACATCAGAAAGCAAGAGGGAAAAAAGCCGCGGCCACGCCATACCCCAAAACTGTGGGCACATGTCAGTGCGTGTGGGTGTGCATCTCCTAATTTTGTCCAGTCTCTTTTCCGAAGGGGCCCTACAGCAAATTAGCGAGGACCCCGCATGGAGCAGAGATAGACTTTGGACTTCCGGTTTGTATGTGTGAGCCGAGAATATATAGTCTGGATTCGAATTCAGGTCTGTGCATCACGGTTATGCGTCACTAATTCTCTGTTTTGAAGTTTTTTCTCGTTTTTCTTTTCCTAGGAATACGTGCAGTGTTGTGCTTCGGGACATCCCTTAAAATTGGAATGATACAGAGAAGATTAGCGTTGTCCCTCCGCAAGGATGATAAGAAAAAAAAAAAAAGGAATACATGCAGTGGCCCTAAGGGCCTCTACTCACCACATGCACAAAAGACAAAACATATGGCGGCGTATTATTCCACGTTCTAGCAAAAGATTCATTCTAATTTTGCACATCTGGTGAGTAGTGCAGCCAAGCCCTGAGAATCACCTGCAGAGACCAACAGGGCCTAAGCTAAGTGAACAACCCATAACTGCTGAAACACAGACCTGAATTTGAATCCTGAGGATATATTCGGCCAGCTCGTGCTCCACTTCATATTCACTGCCTGCCTCGATTTTGGTGGAGGGTCTGCGTGAAATTGCTGCGAGGACCCTTCAGATTACCTGCATGGGCCCTCTGATACGTGTGAAGGGGATCCGTTGCTCTCTCTCTCTCTCTCTCTCTCTCTCTCTCTCTCTCTCTNTCTCTCTCTCTCTCTCTCTCTCTCTCTCTCTCTCTCTCTCTCTCTCTCTCTCTCTCTCTCTCTCTGTGTGTATGCACACACACCCCTAAAAAAAATAAAAAAAATTGAGCGCATCACAAGGCTCGGCCGGCAACCGGCCGGTTCACCTCCCCCGGTCCACCCGGCTCTGGACCAGCCCAGGGGGGCTGAACCAGAAAACCGGTTTTCGAAAAAAATGCCCAGGATTTTTCGTTTTTTTTTTTTTTTAATCAGCGGAATCGGACTGCGCTCTTTGAGATCTGTCCAAATCCGCAATAAAACTCTGAAGGTGGAAATTCTTTTTTGGGGGGTTCCCCCAGAGGGGGGAGGGCATATTATCAGGCGGGGTCAGGGAGGTTGGCCTTTATGTGGAGGGGTCGAGTGAACTGCTTTACTTGACCCCCCGTGGCCTTTCAAATTTAAATTTGGCCCTATACCTCTGTATTGGTTTCTGTCGTCGGGCATTGGCACTAGAGGCCGTGGCCTTTCAAATTTAAATTTGGCCCTACACCTCTTCATCAGTTTCTGCCATCGGGCATTGATACTAGAGGCCGAAGGACATATGTTCACGGGAGGTGCTTGCCCAAAGAAATGGCTCTTCAGGACACCACTCTGTAAAGCGATAAAGTTATGGGTTGAGGTTTCAGCTCGTGCAGGCAGCGAGCTTTCCTTTTGTTTTTTCCCTTATACGGTGGGTCATCAGTCGGCTTTCCTTTTGTTTTTCCTTTGGGTCATCAGTCCGGAAGTATTTCGCCTCATGAGCTGTCCAGATACATGTAGTGGAGCTTTCCTTTTGCTTTTTCAGCTTTCCTTTTGTTTTTCCTTCATACAGTGGGCCATCAGTCAGAAAGTATTTCGCCTCGTGAGCTGTCCAGATACATGAAGTGGAGCAAGGTCCATTCTTGGGCTTGGACCTCGGACTGCTACTCTGATTTTACAAGCAGAAACCTCAACCCATAACTTTTTCCCCACAGAATAGGGATGCCTGAGAAGCATATAAACACAGCAAAGCCTGCATGTTGTTTATATCCCCCTCTCCACTCCGGTCGAGGATGAACACCTGTCTACTATAGCAGGTTTGTGGTCTCTTAGACTGCAGGGTCAATCTGAAACTAGCAAAATCCATTTAGACACAGGACCCTGTGTTTTGACGAAAACACGTGGAAGTGGGGTTCAAAACGCCCTGTTTATTTATCGCAGTGGGCACTAGCCTCCAAAGGGCTTTGCAAATTCGCTGACGCCCGTGGATCCCCGGTATCCCCCTCCCAGCCAGATGCGCTGGCCTCGACCGGGGGTCTGCCGGGCCGGTCGAACGCCCGGTCCAACCGGCAGGCTCCCGGTCGGGGGAAGGGCCCCCAGTCCAACTGGGGACCAGCACTGGCGCATCACTAATTTGCACATGGTGCATGGCGCACGCGCACGGCGCACCGCAAGTATGCGATAAACAGATTATGAGTGCAAATCCTGATGGATACTATAACGTTAAGGACTAAGTGCAACTAACGTCCTTGAAACAAAACAAAACAAAACAAAACAAAACGAAGAACCGTAAGGGTCTGCGCAGTCCTCTGGCTCCCAACCTTGTCGCTGAATGGTACACGCATTTTGTTGTTGATAAACAGATTACAAGTTCAAATCCTGCCGGAAAAGGACAAGTGAGGGGACATCGATCGCTAGCACAAACTACCCAAGATGCTTGTTTGAGTTCGCTATTGTTTTATGGGATGTACCTGGTCGAGTTATGGTAAATCAATGCACCTTCCGGAATTGCTCAACCCCCCAGACAATGACAATAGATAGAGCGCCATCGTACGCTGAGGTGCCTCTTACCGGGTGGTGGATATGTTCACCTAGGTTTGAATTGAAAGAGGCAGATTACCCAATTTATTGGGGACACAAGGCGAAACGACATCTCCTGATGGATAGAATAACGTTAGGGACTAAGTGCGACTAACGCCCTTTGAAAAAAAAATAAAAAAAAAATGGGAAGCTCAATACTCAGTTCATCAGACGTTAAACCGGGGGCATAGTCACCTTGCTGCCAGTTTCTGAAGACGAGCACCGATCTCATCTACAGACACTAAGTCAGCCACTGCCAATCAGCCGCACCCAACTGGTCGGGCCAGAAGCATCAGCGGTCAGCGTCTGCGGTCAGCACCGATGCAGCCCTCCCCTCTAGCTTTTTGTTGCTGACAGCATTCAGACTGCTGGCTGGTTTGCAACATTGCACTGCTTCATTTGTTTGTTTGCTGTTTGTTTGCTTGTTTGTTTGCTTGTTTGCTTGTTTGTTTGTTTGTTCTTTTGTTATTTTCCACTGTTTCATGATGAATTCCACAAACATTTACGATTCACATCATAGGTCAGCCTTATGAACATGTTGATTCCACATCATGGTCTATCTAATCCCAGGTCTCAGATAGAGGGAGAAGAATCCACTGACCTTGGAGATACTCGAGGTGACGAGGCTCGTTACCCTCGCACTTCTGGAGACAGTCAATCAGTTTTTGGTACCGCTGCTGAAAGGGGTATGCGACTTGGCCTTCATGAACATCAAGATTCACTTTAACTCGTGGTGTCCCCATCCTCTGCGCAGACATCGGTGTATGAACCACTGCAGAGGGGGAAGCCCCAACTGTCGTGTGGACAATGGGAGGGGTCGTCGTAGGCAGGGCTGACACAGAAACACAACCTCCTGCACCTGCTCCTCCCAAACGCACAGAAGCTCGCTGCAAAGGGCTGGCAACCACTGTCGAAGGTGTAAGAGGAGGACGCTGAACAAGGCGAGGTGTTCCATCAAGCCTTTTACCCGACCAATGTAGAGTGGCATCTTTGCCAGGAGTCACAAACATCGCCGGCTGTTGAGGGAACACGTGCGGGTGCTGCTCCATCTGCACTTGCTGCTGGTGTAAATGCTGCTGCAGCTGATGCTGGAAATGCTGCAAATGATGTTGCGATTGACACACATACATTGAGTTGAATGCAAGATCAGATGAAGGTTCCCTGGCTGGTGGCCCGGGCATCATCACCGTAGACGTCCTTGGTCCTGCCAGCACGTGAGGAGGACCCTGCCCAGGAGCAGACAGGGGTGAGACAATCTGCATTTGCTCTGTACAAGACAGAAGATTCATGACAGGTGGTCCAATGTTCACTTGACCCCCCTCAACACCTCTGGCTAAGTACGATGCACCAACTCGTGCAAGCAACATCGCATTGTTCCCACCACCAACAATCCCATGTAGCTCACTGCCCTGCAAGGCTCCGCCTTCGCACTCGCCTCGCCAAATCCTCGAAGCTCGGAACCTGTCGCTCCTTTGCATCGCGTCTGCCATTGGGACATCAATTTCCATGGGTGATGTTCCATCCCCTTCATTTCGTGTTGTGCCCACATTCATGGCCCCATCAGCAGAACCTTGGCCAGAAGCTGCTGCCCTTTCTGCTGCAGCATAACCCCTCCTTCCTCGGGCATCTTCCTCCATCCTATTCTCGCAGATGGTGTCCAACGAGTCAAGCCCGGCTGTGACGGACGACCTTGGAGGAGTTATCAAAGGCCTTCCACGGCTTCCACCCTCCGTTTCCATGTCCTCCTCCACCCTCTGTGAGGAACGGTGCATCGCTGCAAAGCGTTGCTGATCCTCAGACCAACTCAGCCTCATCCCTGCCCGATCTTCCCAACCCCCCTCTACCTCCATCCTGTCCTCAGAAGCCATACTTACCACCTGCCTTGAGCCACCACCGACTGCCATCTCAAAGTTGCATCTCACACTTCCTCTGTCTGCTCCATCGCCAGTTCTCTTCCATGCTTCACAAGTTGCTGCCCTGTCGACGTCACCTTCCTCATTCCTAGTTACATAAAGACGTTGACCGTCAGGAGAGTCAATCATTTCACTCCCGTTCACTTGACCCCTGTCACACTTCTCCTTGCCATAGTCTCCATCAGCCACACAAACCGCCTGGAACGACAAGTTCCTCTCCTCCCTGTCAAAAATCGCCCTTGGGGCTCCTTGGTCATGGTCCTCCCCGCTTTGTTCCACAGTGCCTGATGACACTGGCCGACTTTCCGTTGGCCGAGGATACACACTACGGGAACCCATTGCAGACTGCCAGTGGTCGCTTTGCTCTCTGTCTAATCTCATGGCATCACTTTGGGCCTTCACGGAATTGTCTCGAGGGCGTTGTTGATACAGCCGGAAACCGGACTCAGTTGCACGCTGTTCAGTCGCCTGTCGTTCTGAATGTTCATGAGCCTGCAGGGTCAGTGAAAACTGCCTTCCAACCTCTCCTCCCGCTCCCCCTTCAACTCTCCCTCCTCCAGCAACACCAGCTCCTACCCCTCCCCCCCCACCTCCTCTTCCTCCTCCTCCACCTCCTCCTCGTCCTCCACCTCGACCACCTTCTCCGCGGTTAACGTTCACCGAATGATCTTCCCTCTCACTTTCCATCAGCTCTTGACACTGGAGATGCACCTCATCCACACGCTTCCGTTTCCCCACACCTCCTGTGATGCTCCCCCATCTCGCAGTCCCTTCACTGGCTACCTCTGAGCAGCCTCTGGTTGTTTCCAGTCCATCACGGTTCTGTATGCACTGGGCCGCTTGCACCTGACCTGCGGTCTCAGATGCGGGGGCTGCTGCCTGCGGTTGCCAGATCCGCTCACAACTGGGATCCTTCGATCCCCTGCCATTTTCTCTTGAACCGGAGGCCAGCCCACCACCACTCCCCATGCCACTCTGCTGGCCGGTCGGGTGACCATCCCAATGAGCAAGCCTCTCACCCGCACTCATTACTACCCTTGTCCTGCTATCACGGTTGCCGTCCTCAGCAGCAGGTTGCCACTCCCTCTCCGATCGAAGCAGCTGATGCTGATGCCGATACTGATGCTGAGTTGACAACTCCGCAGCACCCTCTGAAAGCCCTCCCCTGCCACAATCGTCACCGTCAACCGCCTCATCATTCAACTCCAATAGTGGCTGCCTTAGATGACTCTCCTCCCTCTTCTGCCTTTTCTTTCGTTCTTCTTGCCTAGCATCTTCCTCCTCAAGCTGCAAACCAGAGGGTGATGCCTCACGCCATGGGAGGGGGCTCACTCGCCCTCCCTCCTGAGTCCTTTGTGGAAGGAAGGCCCCATGTTGTTGTTCCATGGCCAACACTTCTTCTTGCTCTGGACTCCGCCGATTAAGATCTGGTGGCAACTGCTGCTGTTGGCGTGGAAAAGAAAGCGGAAAAGCCACAAGGGACTTCTCAGCGCGTGGTGATCGTTGTGACTCGTCCCACTCTGACAAAGGAACAAGCCGCACTGGCTGCATTGCCACTTGCTGCTGCTGCTGCTGCTGCTGCTGATGTTGCTCCTGCTGTTGCTGCTGCTGGGAACACAAAACTGGCGGCTGCAGAAACGCCGTTCTTGAAGGCGTCAGCGGGGCACCTTGAGCTTGCACTGGCCGGCTGGAATGACCGCCAGTGGATAATGAGAGGGGAAGTCTAACAGGAGAAGCCTGCTGCAGAGGCATCGGGGTGGACTGCCTTACTGACGGATGGGAGGGTGCCATGGCAGATGCGTTATGTGAAGTTGGCTGGCTAGCAGGCACAGGAGGATGGGGTTGTGGCGGTGTGCCTCCAGATGAGGAGGGAGAAGACGAAGGTTGTGGAGATCCTGAAACATGGTCCTGTGCAAGCTGAGGTGGTGGGGACCGCTCAGGTGATTGCCGTTGTGGTGGTGACGGCGCAGAGAGTGGCTCGTAAGAAGTTGGAACCTGTGGTGGACGCATGTGACCAGAATCTGCAGAAAGGAGCGTCAGAGAAAGTGGAGATCCGTGAGCTGATGCCGAGTGAGAATGGGGGTGTCTGGCATGCAAAGCTGCAGGCGTTTGCAGCTGAGGTGTCAGAGGCGACAGCGATGGTAGAGATGACCCCTGCTGACGTGAGTTATCGGGCTGGAGGCGACTGTTGTGTGGGACCTGCTGCGACCTGGCCTGCATGTACACTCCATGTTGAGACCCTGAACCACATGACGGAGACCTCGCTGCCACATATGGCGACTGCGGAGCCGGGGATGGAAGAAAAGGTTGCACCACTGGTGTCCTGGTCAACTGTTGCTGCTGACGAGCACCCTCCCAAAGATGCAGCAGCAGACCTCGCTGCCGATCTTCATGATGAGCCCCATCATTTATTGGCCGCTGTTGCTGCCTCCACTGCTGCTTTAGCTCTTGTTGATGCTCCTCCACCTCAGGTTGCCCCCAAACCTGTCGCTCCTGCTGCTCCCGTCCCTCCTCCCGCTGCTCCTTTGGGTTCTGGTGCACCACATCCTCGTGCTGATCTTGCTGCCTGACTAGCTTCTGTTGCCAATCCTGTTCCCTATGCTGCTGCTGCTGCTGTTGCTGCTGTTGCTGCTGTTGCTGCTGTTGCTGCTGTTGCTGCTGTTGCTGCTGGTTCTGCTCCTGAAGATGATGATGCTGACCTGCTTCAGGCTGACGCTGCTGCTGGTGCTGACGAGATCCAAGCTCGTGGTCGCTCTCAGCTGTATGAAAGTGCGGCTCCTGTGGATCAGCTTGCTTCCCCTGCTGCGGAGTATCTGACTTCCAGTCGCACTGATCTGGAATGTGCAGCTGCTTGCCGCATCCTACAGGTTGCTGTTGATTATTCTGCAGGTTTGCAGCAAAGTCTGGCAGCCAAGCACGTGGTAGAAGAGCCCCTCCTTGCAACTCACTTTTCTCCAACGTCACCTGCTTTTGCCGCATCTGCAACTGCTGATGCCCGTGTGCCTGCTGTTTTTGCTGCTCTGGGCCCTCTGACGTCGTCTGCTCAGCTCCAAGCTGCTGCTGCTCCGCTTGTCGCTGAACAGAGAGCAGTTTTTCTCTCCCCTGAAAATTCTGGGCACTGCTTTGCTGAGTACTTCCCTCCGGCTGATTCATGGCACGCATCAAATGCTGTTGTTTTTGCTGCAGCAGCTGCTGCTGTTTCTGTCGGTTACGATGGTTGAGACTGTGGTGATAAGGAGCATGGTACGCCGCCTCCTTGCGTTCCTGCGGAACAGGTTGTCGAGGATGCAACACTGAAATCTGCTGCGCGCGGTGTGGGAAACCTTGCTG